TTAACATAGGCTGAGTTGGAAACTGCCAATGTTGGGTGTCCAGATGACAGTCATCAAAAATAAGGCTCTGATAAATTCTCTATTACCTAAGCTACCAAATATCCATCCTTTTTCAGGCTGATTGTATTGGTGTGTTTTCCCTAAGGGAGAATATACCAGTCCAGACACCATTTTGGATATCATTTTACCTTTCTTGCTGAAATAGTTTCAATTAATACATCCTGTTAGACTCCCCAAGTATTTTAGTCACTAGTATGCCATATTCACTAATGCTTTGGAGCAAGACACACATTTTACAAGAGAAGTAAAGAGAAGCACTCCTGCCCCTGGGATTCAAAAGAGTTATCATGCCCCTAATCAACCAGATTCAGGTGAACTTATGGCATGGTAGAAGATTTGATTGTCAGACAAACTCTGCATGTGATTATTTTTCAAAATTGGGCTACAGGACATGGACTGCTTTTTATATTAACAACCAATATATGAGGCAATTTCTGTCATAATCAGACTGCAAGTCCAAGTAAAAAGGAATAAGTAAAAGACTATGAACCCATTCTCAACTTTGTTTGCTTAATGCTTTTATAACATTGGACAAGCTAGACTAGTATTCTTTAACTATCTAACAGAGCGATAGGTTTACTAGGGGACACAATTAAAATGAGCTTTAAGTTGGGAGTACCTTGGGATATTCAATTTGCTGAAATGATAGATAAAAATAAATTCTTTGTATTTGTTGGGAGTAACTTACTCTTAATAGAAAAATGTCTTAGAGTATATGGAAGTAATCTAGGGACATTTTCAAGATGATTCCCAATAGTGGCATACCTGTTATGAATAGTAATGAGAATCTATAGGAATTAATGCAGGTAGGATTTTGAATCCTTCATCAATTAAGTTTTTATCATCCTACCAGGTAAACAACTTAAACATATTGAGGTCATTCTTCAGACCAAAGGGAATATGGGCTGAATAGATATCAGCTATTGCCTTTGATCAGCTGTATACATGGGGAATTTTTGCCATCATTTCCCCCTCTTTTTCATCTATTCCCTTTCTCTAATAACTTACATGTGATGAACTTATAATATCTTACTGATTTAATTTTTACTAAATACTAATTGTGATTTGTTGATAATTATAAAACAGTTCTTAAAATTATTTTGAAATAGATATGAGGACTGATGAGAAATTATTAGCTTATCAGATAAGCTAATACTAGGTGTAGTATCAGGTGTTATCATTATACCTGATAGACAATTTTCAAACAAAGTTAGAAGTAAACCTACTTTAGATAACAGTCAATCATTATTTCACCTTTAGTTGGTGAAATAGAGAATATTTGTTGGGCTTTGCACTGTATCATGGTCATCCTATTCTATTTGCTATAAATTAGTATTGAGAAAAACAGCTAAAAATATTCAAGGAGAGTTTTGAGTGAATAGATATCCAGAAAAAAAGATAAATTTGCTTTATGATTAGGAATATCCTTGTGGTCAATCCCAAAGGAGTCATATAAGGAAGGAAACAAAAATGTCCTGTATGAATTTAACTCCCATTACAATTGTTTTTTTAAATCTAGATCCTCTGTGGGCATGATGGTCTTGGTTCTTGAAGCCTGATGTCTTAATAATTGACTTAGGTTTCCTTCTTTCTGAGCAGGACTATTTCCCAGAAGGTCAGAGAACTTTCAATGATGCAATTATTTGAAAAACTTGTACCACTCTTACTAAAAAACAGTAAGGGGTCTACTAAAAAACAGCCCTTATAAAAAACAGTGGCTGATATTTTAGCAGATTATTAGAGATTCCAGATGGTTCAGGGCCTTTACTTTAACACTGCAATCCATTCTCCTTCCTAAAAGCATATAATTATCTAAGAATGAAAGACACAGAATATTCTGCTATTTGATTCTTCAGGTTCACTTTGTACAACTACAGAATATAGTTCCTGAAACTATTTCAGTTTTGCCAAATTATCCTTTAGAAAACTCACTTTGAATTTCCTCTAAAAATAGACTATGGAAACTTTCAAGAAATCTATGAAAGGCAAAGACAGCTCTTAAAGGAGAGTGATGAGGAATACAGGTCACATTTCACTATGGGAAAACTCTAAGACTTTTAAACTCTAAGACTCTAAGATAATAAATGTGTATTGGGGGAGGGAGCTCATTTTATTTCAAAGTGATAATTTTTCAGTACTTACAGTAATGACATAGTAATTAATTAACTTTGTGTTTACTCTTTTCAGAACTTAAAGAAAAAAGAGGGAAACATTGAAACTCTACTGCTTCATTTTTAACAAAATCTGACAAACTGCCAAATAACACAAGGTAAGAGCAACTTACGAAGTATTTAAGATTTTGACAATTAACAAGTCACTAACTAGCTGTTGTCTGCAATGAGAAGCACACACTTGTCAGGTGTAACATCTTAATAAATGTATCAGTGTTTATAATATTGTAAAATTTATCTATGCTAAAATATATTAAATGTTTCTCTGATTCTGCATGCTCATCATCATTCAACTTCTTTGTTTGCAGTAAATATGTATTAATCAATTACATATTACAAATTACCAGACTGAAAACCTTATGTAGAAAGTAAATATAAAGGGTTGAGTTTGGTCTTTCAAGTGAGGAACGATGAGTATTTCATATTAATGTTAAAAAAAAGATTCTGAAATGAATTTGATAGGAATAAATCCTGAAAATTAAACTAATCTGTGTCATTGCTTCTACACAATACTAAAGGAACATGAATAAGATATGTTTTTACAAAATGATATTTCATGACTACTTTAGACCTTTTTTCACTATTTCCTTATGTCACACCTCTTTAGACTCTAAAATATTATATAATTTAAAAATCTTATTTCTTTATTATTAGCTGCTTACATAACTGCTATAGAGCTGAAGAATATTTTATTCTCAACATTCAAACTGTCTAGGACAATAACAAACCATGCCATTTTCCTCTTAGTCATTTTTTTCCTTAGGTAAATATTACACTTCTCACAGATTTCTTCATTCTCTTTAAACTTTTAATAGTTTCTCACATTCCTTCTCTTAACTTAGAATGGTTGATCTCAAAAGTCTGATTATATAATACTAATTTTCAACTAAACTGGTATCAGTTACTTTGGTGAATTATGGGACAGAGTACTCAAAGAATATAATAAAAAGTATAATGGATACATTTATTGAATACTTTTGCACAAATGATACCTTGATTTATCTTCATATGTTATTTCATACCTTCAACATAATGTTGAAATCACATTGCTCTTATTCCTGCTTTTTATATAAAGACACAGTGATATAAAACACATTAAGAACTTGTTCAAGGTCCCATTTAGGAAGTGAGAAAAGCAAAAGTGGAACTTAAGTCTACCTCAATCTAAGAGCCACACAGGCCACTGAAGCATTCATAGTTCTCTTGTTTTGTTTGTTTTATTTTCTTTTCATACTACTGGGGTTTGAACTCAGAGCATCATGTTTGCTAGGCAGGCACTCTACTACTTGAACCACTCTACCAACCCTTTTTTTATACTGAGTATTTTTGAGATAAGATCTTTTGAACTATTTTCCCTGGCTGGCTTCAAAGCATGATCCTTTTGATCTCTGCCTACTGAATAATGAGGATTACAGGCATGAGCCATTGGCACCCAACATGTTTTTGCTTCTGCACAAACAATTATTATTTCACTTTTATTTATATATAAGCATTTATTGATTAATTGCCATTTTTGAGGTATAGAATATTATGCTGGCAATATATGGAGAACAAGTCACACACATGATCTTAAGGAAGTTACTGTTATGTGAGAAATAATTAATCTATTAGTATTAATCTTAAAATACTATGATTACTGTTAAAGAGATGTTTTGACCCAGGTTGGAGAATTAGAAAATTTAAATTAAAAGTAAAAAGTTTGAACTGAACTCTAAGTACAAGCAGAAGTAAGTCAGGCAGAGAAAAGAGTAAGGTCTCTATCAAGTATACAGTATAATAATAAATAATAATGATTAAGCACATGGATTGTAGAGTCACATTTCTTGATCTCATATTCCAATTCTGATACTACTGGGTAAATTTTAAAAGAAAAGTTATAAATTCTGTGTACCTCATCTGTAAACATGGGAATATAATTGTACCTGTCTCATATTATTATTCTATGGATTAAATGAACAACTGTGAAAGGATTTAGAAGAGCATCTGGGATATTAAAAAGGCTACATAAATGTTCGCTCTACTTAATTTGCCCATACTAAATTATGCATAGCCATGAAGGGAAAGGAAGCGTTGATCATATTGTTAATAAAAGGAGTTCAAGATGTATTTGAGTAGTCTAACAAATAGAGAGTGGTCATGCAGTCTTATTTAGGGGAATACAATGAATATTTTCCACAAAAGCTTCTTTTGCTCATTTTCTCTTTCTAAAATAGCTATTCATTGGGACTCTTTATAAAGAATATGGAAACTTGGCTTGGGAAATTTTCCTTATGACAGAGTATGTTCTGTTTAGCAGATAAATCCCAGAACAAGAGTGCTAAACATTTTGTAGTTTGTTGAACACATTTTTTTTAGTTGATATGTAACTTCCATTAGAATTCAGTTTCCAATACCCATAAAAGGCAATTGAATAGCTAAAGTAATTTAAAAAAATTCAGCCCCCTTTAAAATATTTGTTAGTTCTCTAAATTAAATACCACAGCTTGTGCTAAACTTGACTACTATAGCCCCCAATATCTCTGAACCCAGACAACATAAATTGCTTCCTGAGTGACGTTTATTTATGTGTGTTTTCTTCTGGCCACTGCTTCATAAGACTGACATATTGTGTAAGCTGGAGGAGGAAATATATAGACAAGTGCTATTGTAAATGTGAAAAGAAGCTATTTCATTGCATGAGTAGAAAAAATGACACAATTCTACTGGTTTTAGGAATTAAGAAATAAAAATAACATTTTGTTTCAACATCACTTTCTATTTAAGTCATACTATTTCTCTGAGGATAAAATTAATAATAATTACTGAACAGCTTTATAAGTTAAATTTAGTAGAAACCATGTGTAATGGTATGTTCACACCAAAAGTTCATGTGCTTATTTTGCCTTGTACCTCTTATCAGGTCTCTTCCATGGGTGACAGGGGAACAACCAATCACTCAGAAATGACTGACTTCATTCTTGTAGGCTTCAGGGTGCGCCCTGAGCTCCATCTTCTCCTCTTCCTGCTATTTCTGCTTGTGTATGCCATGATCCTTCTGGGGAATGTTGGGATGATGAGCATTATTATGACTGACCCCCGACTGAACACACCAATGTATTTCTTCCTAGGCAATCTGTCCTTTGTTGATCTCTCTTATTCATCAGTCATTGCACCCAAGGCTATGAGCAACTTCTGGTCTGAGAACAAGGCCATCTCCTTTGCAGGCTGTGTGGCCCAGTTCTTTCTCTTTGCACTCTTCATTGTCACTGAGGGGTTTCTCCTGGCAGCCATGGCTTATGACCGCTTCATTGCCATCTGCAACCCACTCCTCTATCCGGTTCAGATGTCAACAAGTCTCTGCACTCAGCTGGTGGTGTGTTCCTACTTTTGTGGTTGTATCAGCTCAGTTCTTCAGACTAGCATGACATTTACTCTATCCTTTTGTGCTTCTCGGGCCATTGACCATTTTTACTGTGATGTTCGACCACTTGAGAGATTATCATGTTCTGACTTGTTCATCCATAAAATGGTATCTTTTTCCTTATCCAGCATCATTATTTTGCCTACCATCATAGTCATTGTTATTTCTTACGTGTATATTGTGTCCACAGTTCTAAAGATACACTGCACAGAGGGACGAAAGAAGGCCTTCTCCACTTGTAGCTCGCACCTGGGAGTAGTTGGTGTTCTGTATGGTGCTGTCTTTTTCATGTATCTCACTCCTGACAGATTTCCTGAACTGAGTAAAGTAGCCTCCTTATGTTACACCCTCATCACACCTATGCTGAATCCTTTGATTTACTCTCTGCGGAACAATGATGTAAAAGAGGCTCTAAAAAAACTTTTAGAGAAGAAAAAGATTATTCTTTAATTATAAAGTCTTTCTACCAGTGGTATTATGGTAATATAATTTATATCTTTCTGGCCAATAATGTAATCATATGGTATATTATAAAAATACTATTGTAGCATTTTCTATCCAATGTATCCTTACCAAATATTACCCTTTTTCCCCATTGGAGACATTATTCTTGATTATCCTGGCCATGTGAGATGTCTTGTACATTAGGGAAGAATTTTAATGATTATCCTTCCTAGTGTTCACCAATAACATTTTATGTCACAGAATCAATCATAACATTGAACATTTTCATATTATATTGTACTGTTTAAACCATCTTATCTAGTGTTCATCTTTTTGATTTCCTTTCTTCTTCCACACAATCATTGGTAATTCAAATATTGACCAAATATTTTTCCTATTTTACAAATTCATCAGCAGTTTGTTTATGAAATTTCACCTTGATCCAATATTTTATATATGTTAAACAGAGGAAATAATAATGAAAAACAAGCCATAACTAACCTCTGCATTCATTAATTTGTAGAGTTGTATTTTGATCATTCCAGGCATTATAAAGTACTCCGAGGGACTACTAGTTGCTAGATCCTAGTTCACAAAACTAAAGTGGAGGACAAACCAATGAAAATATTTTCAGTGCTCTTCCTATATGTCCTATATGAATTATATCTGAAGAATATTCAATAAAGGTATAGAAGCAAAGGAGTTATTAAGACAGAGTATAATCTAAAATTTACTCCTTAATTCTTTTGGACATGTTTATATATTTCATTAATTTCATTGAACATTTGTGTAAATGTTCTGGTATTGTGATAAGCATAAATAACTTTCCTCTTTAGAGAGTTTGCAGTTTAGTGAACAAGTCAAATGCTTTGACAGACAATTAATATCCAGAGGGCTGTGCCAAAGATATTCTTAGAGATCACAATGTGAGGTAACTGAAAGGTGGTGGCTGGTAATCAGGGAAACTCTTCTTTGGCTATGTGCAAGACTGATTAAAAGGAATAGGGTTACATTGAATGCACATATGAATAAAACAAATTAAAAAAATAAAAGGAATAAGGTTGGGATCAGGAAAATGGCTGTATTATTTATGTGGGTTTGTTATATACCAATGTTAATGGAAAAGAGGCAGATTTTAATATGGTGCAAATACTGTGTACACATGTATGTAAATGCAAAAATGATACCTGTTGAAACTATTCCAGGAATGAGGGGAAGGGGGATAAAAGAGAGTGGGAAATGGGGTGAATCCAGTTATGATATATTTGATGCACTGTAAGAATTTTTGTAAATGCCACAATCAATGTACTCTTACCCAGTAAAACAATAAAAAATGAGAAAGAAAAAAAACCCCCCAAAACTCTAGGTAGTATTTTAAAAAACAAATTAACTATTTAATAAGGCAAGCCTGCAAAAGAAAGTGTTTTCTCATTTTTGAACTTGAATGATTGTGATAATGGCATAAATTAATAAAAGTAAATGAACAGAAATGAGGAAGTGTCTCAGTGGTGGTGCACCTGTCCAGCATTCACAAGGCCTTGGGTTTGATCTCCAGCTCCTCAGTGTATTTCTCTGCAATACTGAACTGCTGTTCTGACTTCAAAACCTTTCATAAAGTGACTAAGACAGTACTGAGAAGTCCATCAATGGTGTCATGACATGCCAGCATGACCAAATCTTGCCAAATTTGCCCCCTGCTCATTTTGATGGTGGGGGTTTGGGGTGGGAGGTGGGTGGAGGAGCTGATTGTTTCTCCTATTTACTGGTTCTCAAACACCTTGTTAGTTTCTTTTCCTTCGATGATATAACAAAATACTCTATGTTGAAGACTAGTGATGAGACCAAGTTATTAAAAAGTTGAATATGAATTGCATTCAGGAAAGGATGAAGCAAAGTAAGATCACCTTTCCACAAATAACTCAACTACACCAAGTTTTTAAATTGTTGCAGGTCATGTGCAGATTTTATGTTGCTTGGTTTTCAAAAAAATCTCTTTACATATTTTTCCCTTTGCTCTCACATGAGTCTAAGAGTTACAGAATGTCCCACTCCACATCGAGCTAGCAAAGATAACAAAACTTCTAAATGATATTGAGCAGTGAAACTATCTTAGTACAAGTAAAAAAAAGAGGGGGCAGAAGGGAGAGAAATTGAACAGCAAAACACTTTATTTGTTAATTGTAAAATGTATTTATAATTTAGGACACATAAGATACTGGGTCCCCTGAAGAAGTGGGGGAAATAGCAAATTGCTAGTTTTCCCTGGAGTAGCAGGGGAGATAGAGAATCCAGTGGCACAGGCTGGATAGGTAACTTGCCATGGGGTCCAATGGTGTGGCTAGCACCACTGGATTTATCTTCACCACAGTGCTCCCTTTGTAACAGTGCTCCCTTTGCCTAGTCATTTTGCATGATGATTTTAGTTATTCAGGTCTGCTAGAGCTTTACCCACTTCATAGAGTTTATGTCCTAGTAGAGGGTTCAATAAAGCCACTAGGGTTCCACATCATCCCTTGGGTCCTTGTTAGATTAACTTATTTCTTAGTCTCAACTGAACACGTTCCTATCCACCCTATAAATTGGGTATCAAAGGCTATCTCCCATATCCCAGGACCTCACAAGTAAATTCACGTGGGGTTCCTTTAACATCAGATATGTCAAACAATTCAAAGGCAGAATATTCTCTAATGACCAGTTTCCTGGATAGGAGCATTGCTAATATCCTTATCAGCATGCTGAATCCAGACTTCCCCTTTCCATGCATCAGAGGTCAGATGTGGGGGATGCTGTTTATGACTTTCATTTTATCTTCTCCTTCTTCACTGTTCATTCTTCCCATGGGTTCCAAGACTTTGGGTTCCCAGCCTGGGTCCAGTGTGGATTTGCTCTCTCTTTTCTTTTTGCCCTTCAAAGTGTACAAAATAGCAGGCTAGGTCCTCTATCTAGACCTCTTGCTCATCTAATTTTCCTGCCAGTTCACAGACTACAGTGAACTGTATATTCACCCACATATTTTTCTTCAATTGGAGATCTTTCTTTAAGGGAGTAATTTCCTCCGGGCAAGCCACACAGCTTTGGTTGTGTATTTCATCACCAGAGCAATGATCATTCAGCTGAATCCGGCCTCTTAAGGAATACTTTTAGAGGATGCAGCAGTATTTCCCATCTAGATGCTCCTTCCCCTCAACTCATCTTTGTGTACTAGGTCCCTGTTCGAGTGCCAGTTCTTTTTCTTTTCTTTCTTTCTTTTTTTTTATATATTGAGTGGGTTAGTGAAGTTTATTAGATGGAAAGCAAGTCATCTCTAGAGTGAAAATTTGAATGACCTAAGATCCAATTCTTACAGGAACCTCCTGGGGAGGCATAAAAAAAATCATATACATGGGATAGCACTGACAGCACAAAGAATGACTCATACAAATCCAGTTAGAATGAATAGAAATGATTTTTAATAGGGATCACTTAGATAACTGTGAGTGACTGCATAGGGTTCTAGTTACCAGATCCACCCACACTACCCAAGTCACTGCTGCCCCTCCTACCAGCTTCTACTTAATATGGCTCTAAGCCTACAGCAGAAGCATGGACACAGAGTATCACCTAGTACCAAACCAGCAGAAGTAACTACAGTTTCAAATAATATAAGACACAAACCCTGGGAAAGCTATAGTGTATGTTTACGCATACTCCATCTTGCACTTATAGAGGATTCTATTGATCTCAACGAACACTGTCTGACTTTGGGAATGAGGGCTTGTTTTGCTGCAGTCTAGCATGTAGAAGTGCTAAATGGAGATTTGCTGCAAGATGATCTTACTACACCTGATTATATTATAGTAATGAACAATTACAGAAATTCAACACTCAGTGATCACAGGGCTTGAATATTTATTAACTTAGCAGATAAACAACTTTTTTAGACCAAAGGGAATATGGACTGGATAAAAATCAGCTATTGCCTTTTACCAGCTGCATATATGGGGACTTTATTTGCCACCATTATTTTCTTCCTTTTCATCTATTCTCTTTCCATAATAATTTTACAAGTGATGAATTTATAGCAATTAACTCACTGATTTAATTTTCATTAAATACAAATTGTGATTTTCCTGACAGTTATTGAACAGTCTATAAAATCATTTTGAAATATATAGGAGGGTCAATGAGAAATTCATAAACTTAGAGCATGACACATAGATAAATAACATTCAAGCAATTAAAATTAGAAGTGACCTTAAGTTTGTACACATGCAACATTTAACCTTTACTTGGTGAATTTGAGAGTATTTGTAGGACTTTGCTCATATCATGCTCATCTAATTCTTTTTCTGCAGTGAGATTAATCCTTTGAATCCTGGCAAGGAAAATTCCATTCTGCAGCAAGCTGTCGTTTCACTGCAGTACATGTCAGACTCAGCAAATGAAGTCCTCCTTCCTGTGGTGGACAGGGTTTGCCAAGACCAGCAAAATACTTAATAAGAGCAAGGATGGAGTACTCATAAACATGTAACTCTCCCAGGGTCTGTGTTATTTGACTCTGTTGCTACTCCTGCTGTTTTGACACTAGGTGATGCTCTAGGTCCAAGTTTCTGCTATAGACTTAAGAGCCATCTAAAATAGAAGCTTGACAGTGGTGACTTCAGCAGCTTGGGTGAATTCAGGTAAATACCTGAGTCAGTCAGTTGTAGCTGTCCACTGCTCTATAAGAGCATTTCTACTCATTCAACCTGGATTTGTATGAACCATTCTTTGTGCTGTCAGTGCTATCCCAGTTTGGAGGCACAAGATTTTTGATGCCTCCCCAGGAAGTTTAAGCAACACTTGGTACCTGAACAGAGACCTCATCAAAGATGAGTCATGGGGAGGCTTCTGCAGGGTTAACATAACTTTTAAAAATTTTTAGTTCTTTATGTAATTTTCCTCCTTATGCTTTTTTTTGCTTGCATTAAGATTGTTTTATTGTTCAAAATCATCTAAATTTTTTTGTTATCTTAGCCAATTCTAGGTGGAATG